GCAATTATTTAAAGCGAGGTTTCACCATATTCCCAGGCGTGTCAAAAGCAGGTGTGGGCCACCTATGCTATCGGAAAACAGGAGAGTGCGGAGTTCATCAACGATCCCATCAACGGACTGACCATCCATTATCAGGCTATAGACACGGTTGGGGTTATAAGGTAATGAAACCTGAGTTTACAGCTTTTTAGCAGTCCAGTTACATTTTCTTTGCCTTTCAATTATTTATTCATTTAAGAAACCACCATATTTATATCCATTTAAACGTTGCACTGCACTTGTTTCTTTTGCTCATTACAAAAAAAAAAAAAAAAGCGTAACGAAGGGAAAGTAGTGAAGTAAGTGAAGTGTATGGTGACGAAAAATTGGTACTCAGAAAAATATAAGATATTATTATTATTATTATTAATACATGTAAAGATACTTTATTGTTTTCTTGCAGAGACTCGTACGTCAGCATTGACTGCGGTCCAACTGTGGGAGAGCTGACGGTGCAGGGTGAAAAGACAGTGACAAAATACGTAGGTCTACGCTCTCTCTCCCTCTGTCTCTTTCTCTATTTTCCTCCGTTTGCACTACACTTCTTCGAAGGCACTTTCTCTGCGCTTCTGTTTGTCATCGTAAAGACTATTGCTTTGTTTATGCGACATTTTAGTTGGCTTCTCTTTGGGGACTTTTTAACTGGCCAATTACACACACAGACACACACACACACACACACACACACACACACACACGTGCGTACGCATGCACGCACTCTTATCACACGTTTTTTGAAAAAAGAACTATACTCAGAAGGACCACAGTAAGCCTTGGTGTAATAAAATTTGCATAAATTTTCAGTACATGACTTTGAAAACGAAGTACGCATGTATCGCAGGAAGGGGGCCGATAGACGGGCTCAGTGGAGAAAATGGGCCGCTGGGCGCACTCCGAGCAGGAAGGGGGCCGATAGACGGGCTTAATGGAGAAAGTGGGCCGTTGGGCGGACTCCGAGCAGGAAGGGGGCCGATAGACGGGCTCAGTGGAGAAAGTGGGCCGTTGGACGGACTCAGAGCAGGAAGTGGGCCGATCGGTGGGCTCAGTGCAGGAGGCAGTTTCATAATTATGTAAGTATGCGCCACAAAATATTGATTAAAGCTGGCATTCTTGACTATGCTTTACGCGACCCAAGAATAGAGATCACCACGCCAAAGATTCAGATTTTTGATAACATCTTTTATAAGTTTAGCACCAGTTAAACCATTTAAAAACGGACGTTATTACATTTTAATTATTTATTTATTTTTGTTCTTGTTGTTTCAATTACAGTGCATTGTGTGCAGTGCTTCAAAATATCTGCCAGTTTTAAAAGGGCTACGTTTCCTTGTGGACCACCTCTACCAAAACCACACCTTTAACACCGGCAGCATTGGAAGATGCCCCTCAGACACCATCTTAAAATTAGGCCATTAGATACTATACCCTCTACGGAGCAACAGCATTATTTTTTCATTGGATATTCACATATAATTTTTTGACTCATGCGAAATTCTGTATTGACGATGTAATTTTTTTTACTTTTTTTTATTTTACACGGATATGACGCCATGACACGACTGGCCACTGATAGAGAGTAATAATCAGATATGGAATAGTAACAAATAGGTTCAAATAGCTCTTACACGGCCTCCATATCTTAACAGTGAGTAAATTACATCTAAACTAGATGATTTTGTGATGTGTAATGTGTATGACACCTACACTCTATTCAGTAGTTTTACTTTTACAGTCATGTTCAGTTAACAAGAAATAAAACTGTTGTTTAGAAACGTGAGCTTTTCTGTTTTGTTATTTCATATTCATATTAAAGAAATACACATTATTCGTATTTAAAATCTAAAGGATATATTCTTATTTATGTATATCAATTTTAATTTAAATTAAAATTATTGATTTCACCTCGTTTTTAGCATTGCATGACTAGAATGTACCTTGCCTATGTTTAAGAAATCATTTCATTAAATCTTTAAATAATTATATGCGTCGTCACAAAGTGCCTACAATTCGATGCAGTGGATGATGCCACGCGCACAGCAAGCTATGACTGGGTTCCCATACCTAATTCGATCTAACAGGATTGATCCATCTCGGCGGGGTTTCTCGCTAAATTGCTTTTAGCTTGAGCGGCTTGGATGTCTGGCACGCCTACTGAAGCTGCTAAACGGTAGTTAATTACCCCCTAGCAGCTTCAGTAGGCGTGCCAGACATCTAAGCCGGTTAAGCTGAAAGCAGTTTAGAGAGAAACCCCTTGTAGACAGATCGGTCTATAGTTAGTATGATAGGGTCTGGAAATGGTCCTTATCACGCTAGTATTGTCTGCATTAGTTGACGCTGTTAATGAATGCTTCCTAATACCCCTCTCAATATCAGCTGACATTACATTGTACCCCTTGACCTAGTTGAGCTGTGATTACATTTCCAACAAATTACTGTAAACGATAAACCTCGCCTTCCCTTTACTTTTGTAATTCTTATCCCTCGGTTCTTTTCTGCATGCAGTCACAATCCTCAAAACCAATAAAAAAGTCTGAACCGCCATTTCAAAATTTATGTTATCCATTTCATGAACTTCAACTGGGCTTTTTCAGATCATCAGCTTATCATAGGACATAAGTACACGGGACGTATTTTACAATTTTACAGTAGGACTCGCTACTGATAAAAAGAGAATAGGCCTACTATGATAATCTATGTCAACGCACTGACTTAAGTTCATTATGTGCACGTTACAGGGTATCATAAATCGAAGGGACTATTTATGGTTTTAAACATGAAGACGTTTCATAAAAACTTAAGTATAC